AGAGAGAGAGAGAGAGGAGAGAGAGAGAGAGAGAGAGGGAGGGTAGAGAGAGAGGGGGAGGGTAGTGTCGGAGCAGTAGTGACGCAAACTCTGAGCAGCGGAATGAAGAAGGGAAAAGGAGTCCAAGTTCGTAGTCCTCCTCCTCCTCCTCCTCCTCCTCCTCCTCATCACTCCCCAACCGTTGATTTTGATCACAACGACGACGATTTTCCTCTCCCCACCGCGCGATTTGCTTCCCGAAACGCTTCTTCCAAATACGATTTCGTCAAGGTCAGGATTTCACAGAGAGAGAGGTTTTTTGGGGTTCCTTTTCTTTTGTAGATCACTTTAATGCTTAAAAATTTATAGTCGATTGATTTTATTAAATATTGATTCAGGTACGAGTATGGCTCGGCGATAATGCAGATCATTACTATGTATTATCCAGATTTCTCCTCAGTCGAATGCTAACTGTCACTAAGGTGAGTATTGAATTGATTCTTTAGTTTTCTTGCTCTTATCTTTTTTTTCTATGTAATTATTCGTACGTTTCTTTTCTGTTATTTCTCTAATACATGTAAATATAAGTTCATGTTATCGTATTTGTCTCTATGATGATTGCACCTACTTGTTCCAATTGATTGACTGCAAGAATTAGTCGCTGTGATCTTTATGGAAAATGCAGGAAAAACGTTAACGAGCTACTTTATTTGTAGAAATACTTATTAATTATTAGTGACATTGGTTTACTTTCTCTTTATTGTTGTTGTTATGGTGGTTTATGCTCAAGCATATATTCTCAATGAACAATATGAATTTTTCTTTTTGGGATATCCTTTCAATGTTGGGTATTATTTTTATGAGAAAGTTGAATTGATTATATGGGTTGTTTCAGATTCCCAATCATGTTGCCATCAAAATCGCTCTTGAACTCAAGAAGCTCCTTATAGACAATAGCCTTCTAGATGTGTATGTTCTCTTCTCTCGAGCTTTCTCTTTTCAATCACCTTTTCGATTCGTTGTGTTTATATCTTAATTCTTTCTAATTGTTTGGCTTTGATATGTTTGTGAATTTAAAGTTGTTGGAGAACTCCTTAGTATCGTTTACTCATTACTTGGTGGGTTGATTATGTGCAGTTCTCAGTCAGATTTGGAGGCCAATTTATTTAAGGTATCATTGATTCAATAGAATTTCATCTTATTGATTGTTATAAGCATTAAATGATTTTTTTCTATGTATTTTTCGTACTCTTATGCTTAATGATTATAAGCATTTTATGAGATAAATTTTATTTTCCTCCTAGAAATGATTTGTTTCGAATATTTATCAGTTCAATTTCATGTTACTTCTTTTAATAATGTACTCATCCTTTCCTGCCCATGATTTCCTTCGGTAACTTTGGTTTCAAAAATTAAAATTGGTTCACACAAAAATATCAACATCCCATTTTCTGCCAATTCTTTATGCTGACCCTAGATCTGTGTATTGGTCCTAAGTGTGAAGTGGCTTTCATTGAAGCATTTGAGTCCTCAATTACTCACTTGGTGGAGAACCCAACTGACTTTTCTTATTCTTGTGAAGCTATGAGAATTCCTTTGGTTTTTATCATTAGGAAGATGATTACATGATGTCTTCTTTTCGTTTTGATATATAAGATTTAGTTTGCAGCTAATGGAGCGGCGTGGCTATGGAGAGGAGTATATAAATCGTTATAAGATGATGACCAGGTTAGCATTTACTTTGTCACAAATAAAAATGTTAAAACTTATTTGAGTATGATATACCTGTCTGCAATTTCTTTGGACTTTTTGGCATGTAAATCTTCGCAATCTCTAGGGAAAACAAGAAAATAAAATATTCACAATCATGACATTCATGTATACCATGTGGAAAGTGTATGGAATGCAAAGATGAGCATTGAAGCTGCTAGAAGCTAAAAAGGAAATGATCTTATTGAAGGTCCAATTGTTGTAGAATATTACTCGTAGTGATTGACTGAAAAGCAACTTCTGGGTAAAAGAGACCTGTGGAAATAGCTTATAAACAAAGGGAAACATGCTTAATTTTTTATGATAGCAAAAAAAGAACATGCTTTACAATATGAACATCATCATCATCATCCAAGCCTTATCCCAATTATTTGGGGGTTGGCAACATGAATCATGTTCCTCCATTCTTCTCTATCAAGGGCCATACCCTGAATAAGAGCATGCTTTACAATGTGAACATGCTAGAAAATATTTTTAACTGTCTAATGATGTTCTTTGTTGGTCTGACATTAGTCAACTCATTAGCCTATTGATTTGGATCAGTGTAATATTTCCTTTTCCCAATAATATTGGTTTTTGATGCTCTACAAAGAAAGAAAAAAAGGAATCCAATAGTTCCTTAAGTTCTTCTAGGACAAGTTGTATCCTCTCCATGGGTACACCAAGTTCTAGGACAAGTTGTATTCTTATTTAAATTGTCCTGTTATTTCTAAAGTAATCAGAAGCAGGAAGCTGAATTTCCTACAGGACGCCAAGGTTGGATTAGTGTTTTTTTTTTGTTTAGAAAACTGTTACAATATATTACTCATATAGAGTTTACAATTTTCTCATGAGAGTTGAGTCTCGAGCATCCGACAAGCCAGGGGCTCTGCACAAAAATAATATGCTAAAAAAATGGTATATTGCGGGCCCCAACATGGGTGCTTCAACCTCATGAGACCAAAAAAGATAAGGTCGCAACCTATAATTCGGGTGCTCAAACCTCAAGAGACAAAAAACAAAGGCTGCACCCCACTAGCTGGGTGCTCAAGCCTCCTATAACAGAGGAGTAGATGGCAGCCCACAAAATGGTTGCTTAAAAACTCCAAACCTTATCAGAGAAAGGAGAAGAAATGAGAGTGTTCTATGATAAGTATTCCATGATGAGAACTTTCTCAAAAAAATAGAAAGTATTCTATGATGAGAATGTTGAGATTGTTATCTATCCTACATGATAGCAGGAGGCATGTGTGATGCGTGTTCTATTATTGTGATTATCATCTCAAGCTGTTAAAACTGCATAATTTTATTTAAGAAAAATAAAATCACTAAAAAAATTGAGGATTAGGGATTAGGTTTAAGTAAACAGTCATCAAAATAGGACAGGATCTCTCTTTGTGTTGGAACATCCAAAATATTTGCTCCTATGTTTGGAAAAATATAAATATTTATTAAAGGGAGAATTTCATACACCATTTACATTTCTTATTATATATTTCAATTCAATCATCAATGGGTGCATTTATTGTAGGAAGAAATTGAGATTGAATTAGATAAGAAAGTAATTTACGCTAAACTCCCAGTTTTTATGGCTCTCCTTAATAGATATCTTACCTTAAAGCCTCTCCAAATGGTGTTACTCTAGTTGAATGTTATGTGTCCCTACCCTTGTCTATGGCTTAATATGCTTATATTATATATTAAGCTACAGTTGAGGGTAGGTACGCTCAGCATTGAACTAAAGTAGGACCCTTTGGAGAGAGAGGCATTAGGGTAGAAGGTTAGGTTAATGTACCTCCTAATCCAATTCAATCTCTATATCTTCCTGTAATAAATAGTTCCTCTAGTAATTTAATTGGAGATATATAATTCAAAATGTAATTGGAAAAGGAAACTCGCCTTTTAATAAATACTTTATTTTTATCTGAACTTAGAATTAGTTTGGATGTATGTACACATAAAGAGAGATTCTTTTCTATTTGATGATTATGAACTTTGTTGAAAGCCTAATCCTAGTTGTTAAGTTTTGTGATATTGTTTATTGGAAAAGAACTATGCAGTTTTACCATCTTGAGATTGTAATAACAATAATAGAATCATGCATCGCATGTACCACTTGCTATTGCTTATTGGAGTGTCTCTATTCTATTGATGTGATATGGGTGGAGGCTTAGCCTCTCCTTATGGCAGATTTGAATTTTTGACAAGCAAGTTCAATTAGCCCATGGTCATCATGGAAGAGCCATCCAAAAATTACTTGTTGGGCCAAGGAGGATTGTCCCTTTTTTTTTTTGTAATTGTGATTTGATGGCATTATAGATGAGAGCATAATTTGTTACTCAAATAATGCTCTACATGTACTTCGAAATTGGGAAATGGAACCATCCAAACATCATTTGTTAGGCCAAGAAGGAATATCCCATTTCTGTGTAATTGTTGGGCATGGGGGTGTTTAGTCAGAAGCTGAAGTTTCTATTGCACTGTAGTATTTCCTGGTTTGGCAATTGGGAAACTAGGAACTCAACAGTACAAACTTCTCATTTTCTGATAAGTGCACAGTTCTCATTTCAATAGTAGTCAAACTCACCTAGATTTACATGAACAATTTATTTATTTTTAATTTATAAAAATCAGAATGAGATAAAAATTTGAAGTTGTGTTCACCTCATTGGGGTACATTTGTGAAATTAACTGAGGAAAAATAAACTGACCAAAATATCCCTAAAAGATATAAGGTATTTTGGTTATTTTTAATTAATTTTTGTTTTTATTACTTTTACTGGTACGTAGGCTGAGAAGTATATGTGTCCAAAATTTTAGCTCAATCTAATAAATAGAAAAGATGAAAATGGACATACTTTAACACGTTCTTAACCATCGGGTAAAGATTGGAGAGTTGGGATTGATGGAGTTGTACTCGTGAAACATAACCACATTGAGGTGGTAAACAATTACCGCAGTTTTTATTTTGCCAAAAGTTATTATACTCCCATGGGAGTATACTGTCCCTTTACTCCCTCAGGAAAAACCCCACCTAGGATTAATTTTAGGACCCCAAATTTTGGGGACACAACCTCTGCAACCCATAGATTAACCTCAATAAAGAAAAAGTTCCTAATTGCACTCCCTACACACTTGCAAAAAATAATGTCTCAAGATTGAATAGAGACCGTCAAATTTTTAGAGGGTGAGATCTAAGTGTTAGAAAACTCAAATTTCAAAATTTTCCTTTTGAAAATAATCATCTAGTGATTCTTAGGTGGTTCCCAAAATTTCTAATTGAAAAAATCTCCTAAGTAGTTCTTCTGATTGAAGGAATAAATGTAGCATGTTGTTTTCTTTTTATGTGATCTGAACCATCCCATTTGTTAGACCTACTATGAGTGAGCTATGATTTCAAAATCTCATAAATTTAACAAATATTGCTCTGTCATCAATGAAAGCCACAATGAATGGTCAAAATGAGTGAATTTCCAGTCTTCCCGTTTACAACATTCCAAGTTCAATTAAACATAGTTTTCCAGACCCTTACTAGTACTACTTTTGAGTATTTCAAATGTGTAACTGCCTCTAAATGTGAAGCTTGTGAAGCATGCATAAACTGGCTAACCCTGCTATCTTCATAAGTGATATCAGGTCATGTAATGGTTGGATACATGAGGGGAGCAACTAACCTCTAGTAATGCCCACATCACTGAGGTCCTCTCTTAAAGTTGCATCCAACATGATATTAGGTTCAAGTGGATAAGAGGTTTAGCTGTTGTTTTCCTGATTTTCTATCAGATATCAAGGGTATATTTTTGCTACAAAATAAATATCTCGTGCTTGGAAGTCACAACGTCTATGCCTAGGAAATACTTAAGAGGCCCCAAAATCCTTGATGTCAAATTCTTGGTGAAGGTGCTTCTTGAGGGATAATACGCTGTCCTTAATACCCCCTGTTGCTACAATATCAGCTTGGAGGGTAAGTACCTTGAGGTCTTCTCTTTACAATGAAGGGAAAAAAAAATAGAACTGCTCCTGTGGAATCCAATGGCAATCGTTGCCTTACCGAGTTGATTGGACCACACTCGCGGTGACTGCTTTTGGCCATAAAAGCATTTGATGCTCAAAGTCTTTTGTACCTGTAAACCCGAATTTGGCCTTATCCTCATAGACTTGTTAGGCCAGTCACTTTAAACCCTGGACTCTTTGTAAACCCTAGACCAGTCCTGCCCTCTGAAGGAGACTTCCACAACAAAGCCATTCTCTCTCTCTTTTAATTGGACCTCTTGTTATGGTCCTTTCTTGTGGCTCTTTGACATGGAGAAATGATTTTTCCGCTACCATGTTTGAAGGACTAACTTCTCTTTATTCTTCTAATGGCCTCATTGTACTTAATGAATATGTACTACTTTGCACAAATGGTGACTGGTTTCTAGGAATTCTTCTGCAGTTGAGGAGCAATTGCTGGATCTTGATCTGTTACAATTGGCTTCAGTTGGTTTCCATTCATCAGCTCAAGCTATTTATCAAATAAATCATTTATTGTTGTGAAGCAACAATCCTAAAGATATGGTATTAAAATGAGGTTTTACTCTAAAAATTGTGGCAGAAGGCATCCCATATGTTTTTTTCCCTCTAATCATTGGCTAAAAATTTACTACAAAGGTCAAGAGATGTCAAGACAACATATCAAGATTTGAACAACATAGAGTGATTCAAGAAGAACCCCTTCATTGGCATGGGCATCAGCTCCTGGTTGACTCTCCTAATAATGTGCATAAAGGCTGTGATACAAATGTCGAAGATCTCACCTTATATCATAACAACCCCATGGAATAGAGGACTCTTCGGAGGCCCATCTTATGTCATTGAGATAATCCCCTCCTACTATCGGTTGACTCTTTAAATGGAAGAGATAGATCCCTAGAACTGTAAGACATGCACGAGCCTTTGCTAATGTATAATCACATATCCTAGTGGGCCTGAATAGCTTTTAAGCTTCCTACCTTCTTCATGTTTAAAAATCCGAGCCATACCTGCTGGTCTCAAGTTATCCTATTCGCATCCATCAAAATATAGCTTTCTAGTACCCTCCACCAGAGCAACTCAATGTAAGGTCAAGGGTGGAGAAGGCCAAAATCTGCCAAACTGACCTAATGCACCCAAAAATATCCATAATGCTCAATTGCTAGAGCACTTGACCCTAGGTAGGATTCTCACAAACCTCACCATATGGTCCTTCCAAGAAGCATGGGTCACTTGTTGCATGCCAAAGAGAATATTGGTCCCCATGGTCATAGAATACCTACAATGACTAAGAAGGTGGCTTGCCATTTCGTCTTCCGCTTGGCATAAAATACACATGTTGGGAATCTTCATAGCCTGCCTTTGAAGGCGGTCAAATCATTAATATATCCCTCCGATAGAACAACCATCCAAAAGCTCAGACCTGTGTAGGAGCATAGACCCTCCAAACAACCCTCAGACTAGATAAGTAGCCATCAGCACTTGATAGAATCATGTAAAAAGGGTCTAGCAGGAAAGTATCTTTGACTGTCCCAACTCCACACCTCCCTATTTACCCCTTCCATTGACACATAAACATCTTCCAACGCAGATAAAAATCCCTCTATAACTCTTCCACCTCATCATCTCGAAGATCCCTACAGAAAGCCAGACCTTGTCACTGTACCCACCTAACCCCTGGAAACAATCAATCACCCTGTCAGGGGGTCACTAATGCCTGATATCTGATCCTTGGTGTGGTATCCCCTTACCAAATGTTTGGCCAAAATCGTTTTGGTGCTCAGTTCCCATCACAGTCTAACATGTGTAGTTAGTGGATACTCCATAATCACATGCCTAACTGCAGAAACCCTACGTGTCTAATTGTATCCTTGGATCTCTACCTAACTCAGATAAGCCATATTCGCATCAAATAGCCTCTCTACATAATCCTTAACTCTCCTAAACTAATTGCCAGAGCTACTTGGCCAAAAGGGCCTAATTGGCCCACCTAATCTTCCACGTACCTAATTCCTGTATCATGTTGGTTGACATAGCTATTCCCAACGAGGAATGTGAAACCTATGCTTCTCACTACTCCCCCTACAAAGGAATTTTTGTTGCAATATCTCCAGCCTATTGGTCACATTGTTCGGGATATGGAAAGAGGCATTGCCAACATGGCTTTAAGAGTGTAATCCTCGTCACAAAGGATAGCAGTTTGTCTTTCCATGTTGTCAAACCTCTCCACCACATGGCCTCATAAACTCTTACTTGGCTGTCCACTGCAAAGTCGAAGGCCCAAATATTTTCGAAGCGAAATGGAAACTGAACCCCTAGTCTATCTGCCAAGAGTAACATTTCGTCCTACCTTATAGCAACCTCCATCAGTGAACTCTTGTCCAAGTTAATTTTAAGAACAATTACAATATTATAACATCACAATATGAACCAAAATCTATCAAATTGATCCATAGATGCATCACAAAATACAAGTATATCAACACTTGAGAGTAATTGTGATATGCTAGGCCCACCATGAAACACGAAAGTCAGAAATCTCTCCACAATCCAATACTCTTTTGGAGTAACTTGCTGAAAACCTCTGCAACCATTATAAACAAAAAAGGTAGTTAGGGATCACCTTCCCTAAAACCTGTAGGTACTCGAAAGAATCCTTGTGGCGACCCATTCACCACCACTAACAACTGAGGATGGATCAAATATGTTGAAATCCTTCTCCTCCATCTCTCCGCTAATCATATTCTCCTCTTTGCATTATCCAAAAAGCCCCAGTTAACATGACCTTAGGCTCCTTCATGACAACTTTACATACAATCCTAGGTGCACATCCCCCGTATCCTGAATCAATAGTCAATGCACTCATGGGCAATGGGTGCGTTGTCCAAAATGTGCCTACCCCTCGCAAAAAGATCCCCACTCTGGTGAGATAACATGTCCCAGAACCTCTCTCAATCTAGATGCCAACACAATTGCTAATAACTTGTAAAGGCTTCCCACTAAACTAATTGGCTAATGATCCTTTATCCAATGGGCTTGCTACCTTCGGAATCAAAGTCATGAAAAGTTTCTCTCATTCCCTAGTGAATTGTGGTTCTGTCATGCGACTCATTAAACTTAAGAACCAAATCCCCCTACACGAACTCCCATAAGTATTAAAGAAAGGCATGGTGGAACGATCGGGACCTGGTGCAGTTTCAGACCCCATAGCAATGACTGCTGCCTTTCTCATCCTCAATAAAAGGAATTCGAAACTATGTCATCTCCTCGTGTAAATGGTCAAACTCCAAGCGATTGATCCTTTGTTGAGAGAAGGGAACTCTTAGTTTAAGTGGTGTCAAATATTATCACACCCCAAAAGTACTTGTACAAAATTCATGACCGACCATCACTCCACTGGATATTAGTCAAGTGGCCTTTTTCAATGACCTGACTGTTATATACGAAGGATGGATTCTTCATATGCATATGATTAAAAAATTCATCAAAACCTGTGCTTCTCTATTTTAATTTTGATTTCTTTCGAGTACCATATATATGATTTTGATGGTCTTGCTCCAATCCCAACGTTGCTTGGTTGACCTGCCGACTTGCATTAAATATCCATCATTCTGGGGGATGGTTACCCGAGTTGAATCATACACATTTATAATTATGTGGATTACATAATGTCTTATTTTTATTTTATTTTTGATAATTGTGTGAATTCTAGAATGTTATGATGTGTCCATAGGAGATATACTTTCTTTGGTGTCTTGAGGATGATGCTGCTTCTTTATGCAACTCATAATACATCCACTGGTATTCTCTCTTAGCTTACAACTTGTCCTTGCATCCAACCCTCATTTGCACCTCCGTTGCTTGTCATGTTTCTTTTCATGTTTACCATGCTTTGACATACAAATTTTCAGGTGATAACTAAGATGTCTTTCCTTGATAATGAATGTACCCCGTTGAACATGAGCCTTGCACAATTGGCATATTCAGTAATCAGTATAATATATATATATTGAGAATGTTAACCTTAAATTGATGAAAGGGGTAGAGTATACAGAGGAAATTGGTAAGGGTAATTAGTATAATATTTAAGTTCACTTTTTTTGGATTATACCCTCATGTGGGTCATTGCTTCCACCTTTAGTAATGACAAGCTCCTCCATTAGAGGATTAACCTTCTCCAGTGAACAATCATTAATTTGCATCCATGGTTGTATTCTCTTATACCTTTTAACCTTTGAATGAGATAATTACATAATTTAATTTCAAGATAAAACATTAAAAAGTGCATTACATTGAAAGTTGTGGGAAGGTTACTAGGTATGCACAGATGTAGCAAGCAGATTCAAATTCATGCTCTAAAAACAATCATGGCGACACAGGGATTTAGAAAACGGATTAGTGACCCAAATCGAGCACCCTCAAAACCGGTCCGGAGCACCGTTTTACTGTAGAGAATCGTCGTTTTATTGTGCGGAATCGCAGGTTCCTTTCTAGACTCAACCATTTTCCTATATATATACGTAGAATCGGAATGGGGTGACCGTTTTCAGGGTTGGATCGGGCAATTCCATGCCGACCCAGTGTTTTTTAAATCACTGCATAACACTATATTAAGTCCTAAGTGAATAGAATAATAAAAAACTGAGACATCTGATATCTCAATTGGCAGTCCAATACTTTGTAAGAAAGTAAACATCAAAAGAATGCATTACACAATGTTTACAACAATGAATGCTACTAACTAAAAAGAAATACCTAGCCAAAAAAGTTGATCTAAAATATTTTGAATTCTTTTATTTTGTTATTTGTTTCGAAATATTATACAACAAGGTAGCCCCTCATACATATTGGAGCTCAAAATCAACTAAGAAATAATAACAAAGAGGGATCTTTGAAGCTTCAAGAGCTCATAACTTTATTAAAGAAAAAAAAAAGAAGGCTTGAAATGCTCATTTCCCGTATTTGTCAAAATAAAATCAGCAAAATATTTGGTATTCACGATCAAATTGTACATGTGGTCCCATGGGACGTTAACCATCTAATTATATGGATGGTCAAGTGTCCATGTGAAAGAAGCTACTTTGGGAAGGGAAGCAACCTTTTCTCACCAGTAAATTTATGTGTTTATGTGCCTGTGCTTGTATACTGTTTTATAGTGTTATGAGCCATGCCTAACACAATTGTGAACCATTTTAGATGTTTTACAAGGTACAACTTTATAAACCACTACAGTTTATACTTGGAATTGCATATGAGCTGCTTACTGACGTCTTTCTATGTTTAATTGTTTTATGATTAGGCCCTCGTTTTTAAATTTTAATCTTTGGTTGAGTATTTATTGCTATTGGTGAATGAAATTATGATCGACTTTTTTTTTTCCAATGGTTAACCATTCGCATTTGAACATCAGATACCTTTTTTTTTCTACAATTGTTTGCCTCTTAATTGTTTAAACTGTATTTGTTATACTTATTGTAGGTTTCACCACCAGAGAGTTCCTTTGGTAGTTCTTGTGTGTGGGACGGCATGCTCTGGGAAGAGTACAATTGCCACCCAACTTGCTCAGCGTTTGAACTTACCGAATGTTTTGCAAGTGAGACATTTTTATTTCATATCTCAAAACTTTGTGTTTACTTTTAATTTTCAGTCATCTTCTTTGCTTTCATATTTACTGTATGATTTGTGAAACCATTATGCAGACAGACATGGTCTATGAGTTGTTACGCACGTCTACCGAGTAAGTTTGTATCTGCGCCTATCTTTTTCTTTGTTCCTTGTGGAGATTTAGTCATAATTTTACCTAATAATTATATTGCAATTTACAAGACAATGAACTAATGGCAGCACTGATAGATAATCTGTGTGTCAAACCTTATGATTGTAGGGAAATTTCATGGGTTGCTATTCATATTTTCTATAGTGCGTATGTATCTTAAAGTGAGAAATGTTGTTATATTTGATAAGTTAGCAAGTTGACACTTAATGAGTTTTTTTACCCTTAATTTCCTGTGGAACAAAGTGGTAGAGCAGGCAATGTACGTTGGTATCATCTATAGAAATTCCACTCTAAGATGCAGTTTAAACTGTGCCCTAGACTCAACTATGATCTATCTGTTGTTATCTCACCATCTAGGGATGATGGTTGGAGCTAGACAGTAAACAGAGTTACTTTTAGATCCCTTTTCCAAGATCTAACCATACTGGAATATGCATGTATCAATGGGTGAACATACATGACAGATTAGTCCTTTACCTGGATTACTTTTATTTAATGCATATGCCATCAAATATTGTTAGTTGAGGTTTGGGGGGAAAATTGAAGTCATTTGTTGAGGAGTCTAATGCATGTAACAACTGTGCTTAATACTTAAAGTTCTGTTGACTTCTTGCACCTAACGCACAGCAAATCATGACATATGCAGTTAAACAAATTTTAAATTGTACATGTGGCATGTTATGAGGGTGGTCTAGCATATCTGTATGTAGGAATAGGACCATGGGCATTTTCGTGGCATGTGGGAGGAGTGTTTTTTAGTATGATTTTACCACGAGCTGTGGTATTTTTTGTCATTTAGTAAAGTCCCTTATTGTCAAACAGTAATTCCACGTTGAATATATCAATTCCCAAATTCTCAAGATGCCTTCAAATGATAAGTGACCAATACATTAGCAACGGCAATGACCAAATTGCAAGGCCTTGATGCGAGGTAAGAAACTTAAGTTGTAAATTGACTGGACTCTCTTTGCACAATGCATGCATATCTGTGTGCATTCCATATAAATCATATTGGATGGGATGCAACTATTTGTTGAGCGGGTATTTATCATCATCATCATCATTGAAGCCCTAACCCAATTATTTAGGGTAATATATGCCTTTTATAAATGACCAAGGGCTAGCATGGGCCATACCTTGCAACATGTGTTTGTAAGTTGGAAGTGAATTTGTGCTAAATGGACATGTGGAGTTGGATGACTTCAAATAATGCCTTCCCTTGGTGGTATGATGAGAGTAGCGAAGGAAAGAATGGGAGCAAGATACTGAGGACATTACTATGTATTTGTCAGACTGAAATATTGGTAGTGGCTAAATGACCTGTTTTAGGAGTTAGGGTGGGTGAGCTTGTTGAAGTTTTGGGTGTGTTTGTATGTGTGTGGTCACTTACATATACTTTCCTTTACTGAAGCCCATTTTGGAATATGGATCCTATATTGGACACGTTTGTAATTGAACGTTTGCCAAAGGGCATATTTCTCATTCTTTGATGTTCACTTGTATGGGCCTCTGAGCACTATGAAAGAATATGCTAGAAGATTACTGAAGCCTTTGTCATTCTTTTGCTCAACCCCCAAGCATCAGTGTAGCTGTTTGATAATTGGAGGACCTATTAAGCTTGGAGATGTTAAGATAAGGCTCAGATGATGATGATGACGGCGACGATGATGATGATGACTAAGCTCCGAGGCATCCAGAGTGCGGGAGTCTTGGCTCCCTTCTTGAGTTTGGTTTACCTTAAGCTAGTTCTGATAGACAAATGTAATTCTCTACTTATGTTAGGAATGGTGCTGGGTCTGTGATATGGTTGTTTAGAGGAGTGCAGGTTTGGTTATACTTTGTATTGCAAATTTTTTTGCAATCATGGATTCTAGAAGAGTCGAAATGTTGGCTTTGAAAAATTCCCTTTTGTCTTTGTCTTAGCGAATTTCTTAATTCCTTAGACCTGAGGTCTCTTTACGTGATTCAGGGTGTATAGTCTATGTCTCTTGTGTTGGAGCTCAGGAGCGGCCCTGACCATGGGTCCTTGTTCATGTCATTGGGAATTTTTCAGCCCTTGTTGTTGTTCTCATCAATCTCTTGGTAGAGCAATTTCTTCTGCACTTTTTGTATCGAAGCCTCTATGGGCTCAAAAGAACAGAAAGACAGTTAACTAATTATCAACTATTATAACACACACAGTGCCTCATCAAAAATTTACCTGTGATGCTGATGCGTCAATGTTGCAAATGGGTATGCCAGTAATTGAATATTATTACCTCTTTGACAACAAGAATTCATTCATTTAAGCAGTTTTCAGAACTCTTGCACGAAATTTGGCTGACATTAGGTACCTCATAGACAACATCAGTGATGTCATGCGTCAGAAAGATTATTTATCATATTGTTAATTTTATTTGCAGTGCTCCATTGACTTCAACTCCAGTATGGGCCAGAGATTTCGAGTCCTCTGAGGAACTCGTAACTGAATTTTGTAGAGAATGCAGAATTGTCCGGAAAGGTATGTATTGATTTTCTGTCATTCTTTGAATTTGATTACTGGCTATTTTTCTCTAATTAAAGCTAGTTATTAATTGTCTCTTAACACGATCTTTATGTTGCTTTTTGAATAATTTGGTTAGGTTTGGCTGGGGATTTAAAAAAAGCAATGAAAGATGGGAAACCTATTATAATCGAGGTATGGTTTGAGCAATTTAGTCTGTGATATATGTGTTTGAGCTTGTTACTGGCAATTTACTCCTTTGGAAGATCAAATGTGCATGGAAATGTGCTGTGGGGTTCAATTTCCCTGGTAATTTTCAGATCTTGTAATTCAAGCATTCAGCCTCTTGTAAATTACTTATCCAAATGAATGGAATGAAATATAGACTAAAATTTCATTCATCCTACAATCGAGCCTTAAGGCATATTTCTTAATCTCATGCATCTTAAGTGAACAGAACTTTGTAGTTCTATGCATCGACTAGCATTTACCATTCCACATTGAGACTTTGTCAGGTGTAACAGAACTTTCCTTCTACTCTCTCTCTCTCTCTCTCTCTCTCTCTCTCTCTCTCTCTC